CTGGAAAACTCCCACCTTTTAGACCTCTGTATCGCCTCAGTCTAGCTGAGTACAAGGAAGCTAAACAACAAATTGAGGAGTATCTCAGGAAGGGATGGATTGAACCAAGCGCATCACCTTACGGAGCGCCGATCTTGTTCGTGAACAAAAAGGGCGGAGGGTCACGGATGTGCGTAGACTACCGTGCTTTGAACAAGATCACGGTGAAGAACAGGTATCCCCTACCAAGAATAGAGGACCTGTTCGACAAACTCCAGGGTGCCCAGTGGTTCAGTGCATTGGACCTCGCGCACGGGTATCACCAATTGCGCATCACCGAAGAAGATGTACCCAAGACGGCTTTCCGATCGCCGTTTGGTCATTTTCAGTGGCGAGTGCTGAGCTTTGGCTTGTCCAATGCTCCTGCATCTTTTCAGAGAGCTATGACTGATGTCTTTCGCGAGGCGATTGGATTGTTCGTTTTAGTCTATCTGGATGACATCTTGGTTTACTCTAGGACGGAAGAGGAGCACACGCGACACCTTAAGTGGGTGTTAGGGAAACTTCGAGAGCATAAGTTTTATGCTCGTCTGTGGAAGTGTCATTTCTACAAACGCGAGTTGGAATATCTTGGCCATCTCGTGGGAAATGATGGTCTCAAAGTAGACCCAAAGAAAGTTGTCGCAGTCCAAAACTGGCCGGTACCACAAGATGTGGGTCAAATCAGGTCGTTTTTGGGACTGGCGAACTATTTTCGTCAATTCATGCAGAATTATTCTACCGTTGTTGCCCCATTGACAGCCCTCACTCGCAAGAGTAGTGCTTGGCAATGGACACAACAATGCCAAAAGGCATTCGACGAGGTCAAGCGATTGCTGACCAATGCTCCGGTTCTGGTTTTACCAGATCCGACAAAGCCCTATGAGGTTGTTACTGACGCTTCATTGATTGGGATTGGGGCGGTCCTCTTGCAAGAAGGGAGACCAGTGGCATTTGAGAGTCGAAAGCTCTCCCCGGCAGAGCAGCGCTATACGACGTCTGAACAATAACTGTTGGCGGTCGTTCATGCGCTACGAACATGGCGATGTTATCTAGAGGGTGTGGACTTTGTGGTTACGACTGATCACTGTCCAAACACCTACTTCTCCACCCAAGCCACGCTTATTCGACGTCAAGCCCGGTGGGCGGAACTCCTTAGTGGGTTCACCTTCGATATTCGATATCCAGCGGGTTCGACGAACCTGGCTGACCCCCTCTGCAGACAGCCGATAGGGGCAGCAACACGTCTAGACGACACAGAGAATGCGGCAGTATTTTAGGCTTGCTTCAGTGTCCTAGCAACGGCTCGAGTGAGTGAGATTACCTTCAGTGGTTTCCTGAAACGCATCCGCACAGGGTATCAAATTGACTCCTGGTTTCAGGACCCACGAAACACGAAGGAACTCAAGTGGGAGCATGAGCTCTGGTGGCGTAAGAAGGAGATCGTTGTACCTCACGTAGGTAGCCTGCGGAACGATATTCTGGAAGAAGTGCATGCCACTAAGTACAGAAGGCACCTAGGGGTCAAAAAGACCAGGTGGGCCTTGAGTGATGTATACTGGTGGCCGGGATCGGGCACTGAGGTCCAGCAATTCGTGGCGCACTGCGACGCATGCGCACGAAATAAAACGGACACAAAGAAGCCTGGTGGTTTGCTTCAACCACTCGAGATCCTGAATGAACCTTGGGAGAGCGTATCCTTGGATTTTAATCACGGACCTTCCTAAGACTCGCGATGGCCATACAGGGATCGTAGTGTTTGTGGATCGTCTGACAAAAATGGTGCATTTCGTGGCTACTACAACTGACGTATCCGCGGAAGATACGGCCAAATTGTTTGTGGCACACGTTTTCCGCTTACATGGGTTACCACGTGTCTTGGTGTCCGACCGGGATCCGCGCTTCACAAGCCGGTTCTGGCAAGAAGTCACACGGACACTAGGAACGAAGCTTAAGTTGTCATCGGCGTTCCACCCACAAACCGATGGGCAGACGGAACGAACAAACCGTGAGGAAATGAGAACGAGAATGAATGAACTATGAATGAAGTGGGTACAAGTAATAACCCTAATTGGGTTGTACCCCCTATGGGATACCCCACTATAGCCTACACAAAAGCATAAGCTATAATGTTCTAACACACCCCCATAGGCAAAGTGGAGGAGAACAGGGAGTCACAAGACCAGTCAAGCAAAGCAAGCTCAGGGTGGATCACAAAGTCACCACACATTCCGAGCACAAGTTCAAGGCCACAAGGCCAGTTCACATGCAGGAGTACATATATATATAAGGCTAGACAAGCAAGAGCGGGTATATATATATGTAACAGTACAAGCAAGGTACAGAGGTGAGTAAGTGAGGCAAGACAAGGACAAGACCCAGCTGAGTGCACAAGTGCTGATGATCACAAGGCGGAAGTGCCTTGGTGAAGACATCAGCAGTGTTGGCCTCAAAGGCCACGTACGCAAGCCGCAACTATCCACGCTGCTGTAGCTCACGTACAAGGAAGTAGCGGAGAGAAATGTGCGTTGTTCTGTGCTCCCGTCACTGCTCTTGACACAAGGCCAGCATGGCCTTGTTGTCTACGTACAGAACTGGAGGAGAACGAGGCGGCTCTCCAAGGTCAGTCAGCAGGTAGGTGAGCCAGCAAAGCTCCTCTGCAGCCATGGCCCCAGCGTAGATCTCAGCCTCACAACTGGAGCCGAGAACAGTAGACGAGTGAGTAGCCCGCCACGAGACAGAGCCGGAACCAAGGCTGAAGGTGCAACCCTGTGACGACCGCTGCGTAGCCTGGTTGTCAACCCAAGAAGCGTCTGCGTGCCCAGTGAGGACCACTGGACTCCGCCCTCCAAGCACTAGCCCCATGCCCGATGTACTGCACAAGTAGCGCAACACCCTCTTCGCTGCAGCCATGTGCTCTGGTCGGTGTCTCCCAGGAGCAACATAGCGTGCGAGAATGCTAAGAGGGTATGCAAGGTCAGGTCGTGTGTAGGTCATTTGGTACATGAGGCGGCCAACAAGCTCTGGATACGGGCCACTCGACTCTACGGACTCATCCGAAGGCAGAGCTGAGAGCGAGTGGCGAGTAGGCAGAGGAGTGGCATGAGGCGAGGAGTACGTGAAGCCAAAGCGCTGAAGGACCTGCTGCACCATGTGTGACTGTGTCAGGGTAATGGTGCGGCATGCTCTGTCCCGGGTGATCTGCAAGCCAAGGTAGCTGCGCAGTTCACCCAGGTCTGTGCACGTGTGTCTCTTCTGCAGCTCGGACTTCACGTAGGCGAGTCCAGCAGTGTCAGCTGTGGCAAAGACCAAGTCGTCAACGTACACGAGGATGTAGAACGGCGGCAGAGAGGTGTCGGTGCGCAGAAAGAGCGACGGGTCAGCAGTAGAAGGAGCAAACCCAAGAGCCGCAAGCGTAGTCCTCAGTGTGTCGTGCCACTCACGGGGCGCCTGGCGCAGACCGTAGACTGGACGCCGGAGACTCCATTGGGTACCAGGAGGGAGCGACCCATTGAAGCCAGGTGGGCGGCGCAGCCAGATCTCCTCGTGCAGGCTGCCCTGCAAGAAAGCTGTGCTGAAGTCGAGAGAGTGCAGCTCGTAGTCACGGTGAGAAGCAACGTGCAGCAGTACACGAAGATTGGTCATCTTCGGGGTGGGAGAGAAGGTCTGAAAGTAGTCAACTCCCTGCCGCTGACTGAAGCCACGAGCCACGTACCGTGCCTTGGAGACAGGTGGAGAACCCGGCGGCCGCTTCACCCTGAAGATCCACATGCCACTGACGATGTTCGCCCCAGGCGGGGGAACCTCGTCAACGTAGGTGCCTGTGGACTTCCAGGAAGCCATCTCTGCGTCCATAGCTGCCTGCCACTGAGAGGAGTAGGGACCCTCTATCGCCTCCGCGTAAGAGCGCGGAGTCAGGATGTCAAGTGCATCCGGGTCTCCCTCAGGGGTAAGCAGTACGGACACGAGATGAGGTGAAGCAGCTGCCAGACACTGGAACTCCTCCTGCCTGTCCTCAAGGACGTCCGTGCCAAGGGCACACTCACCCCCGACGGACGAAGGATAGACAGACTCAGACTCAGCGACAAGACTAGCAGCGTAGTCTAGGCGACAGCGAGCAGCAAAGTCGACGAGCTCAGCAACTAGGGCAGACACAGCAGTGGACTCGAAAGAAGGGTCAGTGACGACAGTAGCAAGGAGACGCGTAACAGTAGGACTGGCAGCACGAAGAGAGTCCGACTCCGGGTCGGCAAGAGCAGGAAGAGAGGACTCAGGAGGAGAAGGCAAAGGGGCACGCAGAGGAGCAGTGGACGGACGCAGAGACATCCTGTGCGTGCCAGGGACAGGAGGAGGACGCTGACGCGAACCACGACCACTAGTGCGAGCAGCACGGACAGGCGACGCATGGTGAGACGCAGGCTGTGGACACTCAGCAAGACCTCCAGTAGGACCAGTGTAGGGAGAAGGAGCAGGCAAAGGGGAGGTAGGCTGCAACTGTAACTGGGACGGGACAGGCTGTGGACACTCTAAAGAAGGAGGAGGACCAGTAGAAGGCGGAAGACCAAGAACCTGCTGCAGGAGTGGAACGAAGTACGGTCGAGGCCGCTCCAGCAGCACCTCCAGCAGCTCCAGAACCTCCAGTAGCACCAGTAGTACCCCCAACAGGACCGCCAGCACTAGTCTCAGCGCCAACACCCTCAGCAGCACCAGCTCCAGTCGAACCCGCAGGCCCAGCAGCTCCAGAACTCCCAGTACGAGCACCTCCGGGACCCGCGACAACAGCATCCTCAATAGCGGAAGAACCTTCAGCTCCAACAGCATGGCTCCAGCGTCGGGCAAACCACTCGCGCAGCGCCTGTGGAGAGAGTGGCTCCCGGAGAGACGAAGCACCCGGAGAACCTCCAGGCGTAGCACCTCCAAGCTCAGCACCCCCAGGCTCAGCACCCCCAAGCACAGCACCCCCAGGCTCAGCACCCCCACGCTCAGCACCCCCAAGCTCAGCACCCCCAGTCTCAGCACCCCCAGGCTCAGCACTCCCAGGCTCAGCACCCCCAGGCTCAGCACCTCCAGCAGCACCTCCAGCAGCACCTCCAGCAGCTTTAGAACCTCCAGTAGCACCAGTAGTACCCCCAGCAGGACCGCCAGCAGTAGTCTCAGCGCCAACACCCTCAGGAGCACCCGCTCCAGTAGAACCCGCAGGCCCGGCAGCTCTAGAACTCCCAGGACGAGCAATTCCGGGACCCGCGACAGTAGCACCCTCAGTGGCCGAAGAACCTCCAGCTCCAGCAGCACGCCTCCAGCGCCGGGCAAACCACTCGCGCAGCTCCTGTGGAGAGAGTGGCTCCCGCAGAGACGAAGTACCCGGCGAAACTCCAGGCGGAGCACCTCCAAGCTCAGCACCCCCAGTCTCAGCACCCCCAGGTGTAGCACCCCCAGGCACAGCAACCCCAGGCTCAGCACCCCCAGGCTCAGCACCCCCAGGCTCAGCACCCCCAGTCTCAGCACCCCCAGGCTTAGCACTCCCAGGCTCAGCACCCCCAGGCTCAGCACCCCCAGTCTCAGCACCCCCAGGCTCAGCTCCCCCAGGCTCAGCACCCTCAGCAGCACCAGAGTCACCAGTAACCTCGACAGGCTCGACTACATCTACCTGGGACACATCTGAAGGGGCAGGACCCTGAGGGGGGAGCGGGTCTACCGGGGGGGGACCTGACGTTGGGGACCGACTCGTCAAACGTGACGGAGTGCGGTAGGGGAAGAGACGGTAGTAGGGGACCGACTCGTCAAACATGACGGAGTGCGGTAGGGGAAGAGGCGGTAGTAGGGGACCGACTCGTCAAACGTGACGACCTGGGAGGACAGAACACGGCGAGAGGTGGGGTGGCAGAACTGCCACCCAGGCGCGTCAGGGGGGAACCCCAGGAAGACGCAAGGAGCAGCACGAGGGGACAGCTTGTCCGCAGACAAGTCGCGGACAAACGCCCGAGATCCCCAGACCCGTAACGCCGACGCATCGCCAACCTTCCCCGTCCACAGCAAGGCTGGGAAGGTCTCCGGCCTGGAGACCCTAGGGTGAAGGTTGATCTGATGCGCCGCGTACCTCACCGCAAATGGCCACAGAAAATGGGGGCCAACCGCATGCATCATGGACGTACGAGCGACGTCCATGACCATGCCAATGCAGCGCTCAGCGATCCCATTTTACTGCGGAGAGTCCGGAAGCGTGAAGGTCTGACGGATGCCTCGTGCGCGACAATAGGCTCTCAGAAGGCCAGAGGAAAACTCTCCGCCTCTGTCCGAGTGCAGACGCAGAACAGGAAAGTCCGAGCCAAAGCTCTGCCTGAGCTGGAGACGAGCTGCGCGGATCCAGTCGATCAGCACCTCAGTGACATCACCCTTGCTGCGCAAGGGGAAGACCGCGGTGTAACGCGAGTAGTCGTCAACAACGAGCAGGAAGTAGCGCTCGTGACCCTGTCCACGGACGCGGGCTGGGCCCCACACGTCCATGTGAAGCGTCTGCAGCGGGGCCTCTGTCGGAGGAAACTGGGAGGAGTGAGGGGCAGCCCGCTGGCGCCCCTCGACACAGGGGACACAGGTAGGGCCTGGCCCCTGTGGAAGGGGAGGGAGGGACCGGGGGAGACCAGAAACAAGAAGACGGGAGGCCATGCCTCTGCGACGAAGCAGAGAGGGGTGACCAAGGCGTTGGTGCCAGAGGAGAGTCTCGTGAGATAGGAGACGACACGAACAGGGGGCAGACTCAGGACCAGACCTGGACGCTGCAGCAAACACCTGACCCGACGCAGCTACCCTACCAGACTCAACAACTGGAGGAGACGCGGTGGTCAGTGTGTACAGGCTCGACCCCGGGTGACGTGTAAACGTAGCCAAGTGTCGGCCTGTGCGAGCCTCAATGCAGTGCGTCACTCACTGACGCGCAGGAGTGAACTGGTGCACTCCCCCATCCTGTAGGTCAGCACCACTCACCAAGTTCGTAGAGAACGAGGGGAGGTAGAGACCAGACAGGGTGCCAGAGGGACCCGCCGGACACGGGAGGACTGTGGAGAAGTGAGACAGGACAGGACCCCCAGAGGGGTCAGCCAGAGACACCACACCCGGCCGACTAAGCGGCGTGATTGTGGTGCAGTCCCGAAAGGAGGAGCGAGAAGCCCCAGAGTCAAGGGTGAAGGTGAGGGAGGCCGAAGCCGATGCAGTACCTGAGAGCGCAGACTCACCAGTACCTGAGGACGCAGACGCACTAGCACGTAGAGCAGCAGCATCGCAGGCACCTAGGGCAGCAGCCTCACCAGTACCTAGAGCAGCACTCTCAATGCCCGAATCGTTCGGGAAACACCGGTAACAGTCACCCTCATCACTAATAGTCACAGCATACATGGCAGAAAGAATAGCATCAAAATCAAGATCATAGATGGCAACTCCCGCCCTAGACAGCTCGCCCCAGCGAGGGATCTCTATGGCCTCAGGGAACTGGTGACGCCACGCGTCCGCCAGGCGGCCAAAGCAGCGCTGGGTGGGGTGCGCACCCCCACACTGCTCACCCGCACGGTCGCCTGTGCGCAGAACGTAGGTGCACGGACCAAAACCCCCACCCCGCTGGCGTGAAGTGTACCACTCACGGAGCTGCTGAGGGGACAGGGTCTCACGACCGCGTTGTTGCTACTGGCGCGGACCACCACCGGAGCCATACCTCTGCGTAGACCCGCGACCAGCTCCACCGCCACCTCCGCCGCCTCCGCCGCCTCCGCGACCTCCGCCACCACCGCCGCCTCCGCCGCCACCGCCGCCTCCGCTACCACCGCCGCCTCTGCTCCCTCCGCCAAGGCCGCCGCCTCCGCCTCCACTGCTGCCACCGGTACCCCCACCTCCTCCACCACTCCCACCACCACCCCCACTCCCTCCGCCGCCTCCACCGCCACCTCCACCGCCCCCGCCAGCTCCTCCAGCGCCCTTGCCCCCCTTGCCCTTGCTTGTGCGGCGCTTCCCCGAAGGGGCAGACACAGCATTGACCGACTCAAAACCAACGAGGTCGGCCGCAGCAGCAGAGGCAACAGAGGGCAAGAGGGGGGAGGGAGAACACCCCTCAAAGACAGGGGTGCGGGGGTCACCACGAGAGGCTCCTACAGCGATTATGCTCTTCTCCGCCGCTAGCAGGGCCTTCTCGAGGAGGTCAATGGTGAGAGTGGCGGGGCACACTGCAAGGAAGTGGTCCCTGACTACGCGAAGGGAGTCAGGGAGTCGGGTGACTATGTAGTAGAGGGTGATGTACATGGGGGGGGGTTCTTGGCGCAGAAGTCAGCAGGAAGCGCAGCGCGGTAGCGAGTGTCACTAGTGCGGAGGTGCGTAATGAGGTCAGCAACTGTGGGAAAGGCAGCAAGGTCAGGGAAGAGGTACGGTAGCATGAGACGGCTCAGTGCAGCAGTGGCAGGGGAGGAGTAGCGTGCAACTACAGCGTCGTACAAGGTCTGAGCACTCTTGTACTGACTAAAGTGCGCACGCTCGGAGGTAGGGAGGTGGCGACGCACAGCAAGACGTACAGCAGCGTCGCGCGTGGCCCACTGGGAGCGAACAGTGGCGTCAGCATCAGCAGCAGGGGCAGGAGAGGCGCCAGAGGTGAGGTCAAAGAGAGAGAGACCGTCTGCCTTATCGCACTGTAAGAACAGCTGCAGGTCATCTACCCAGACATCAAAGTCAATGGCTCGACCCTCAGCGTCAAAAGCGAGGACGCTAGGGGTAGCCATGACCACAGTAGACTAGCAGTGCAAACAGTAGGGTGAGGGCAATGCAGTGAAAGAGGCGCTGTGCTTACCGGACGGGGCAGCTCGGGCGGCTCGGCAGTAGGGCGGCTCGGCGGCTCGGCTACAGGGCGGCTGGGCGGCTCAGCTGCAGTGCGGCTCGGCGGCCCGGCGGCTCGAATGTACGGCGGCTCGGCTGCTGGGCGGCTCGGCTGCAGGGCGGCTCGGCTGCTTGGCTGCTGGGTGGCTCGGCGGCTCGGCTGTCCGGCTGCTCGGTTGCCCGGGCGGCTCGGCGGTGCAGCTGCAGGGCGGCGCGGCGGTCGGCTGCTCGGCTGGGTGAGGCGGCTCGGGCAGCTCGGGTGGCGGGCGGCGCTGCAGCAGGGGACGGGGCCGCAAGTCAGGACGGCGGGGCCGGAAATGAAAGCGGCGGGGCCGCAGATGAGAGCGGCGGGGCCACCGGTGAGAGCGGCAAGGCCGCCGGTGAGAGCGGCGGGGCCGCAGGTGAGAGCGGCGGGGCCGCACGTGAGAGCGGCGGGGCCGCAGGTGAGAGCGGCGGGGCCGCAGGTGAGAGCGGCGGGGCCGCACGTGAGAGCGGCGGGACCGCAGGTGAGAGCGGTGGGGCCGTAGGTGAGAGTGGCGGGGCCGAAGGTAAGGGCGACGGGCCGCAGGAAGGGCGGCGGGCTGCAGGTGAGGGCAGCGGGGCCGTTTAAAGGGACGGCGGGGCCGTGAGAAGGGCGGCGACGGGCCGTTGCAAGGGCGGCGACGGGCCGCTGCAAGGGCGGCGACGGGGCCGCTGGTGACAGGGCGGCGGATCGGGGCCGCAAGGGTGGCTGATCCGGGCCGCGAGAGGCCGCTAGGGCGGCGCGACGCAGCCGTTAGGGCGGCGCGACGCGACCGTAAGGGCGGCGCGACGGGTCGCTAAGGGCGACGCGATGGGCCGCTAAGGGTGACGCGACGGGGCCGCTAAGGAGGGCGCGACTCTAGGCGCGCTTCGGGCTGGGGCAGGACGCGCCCCGGGCACGAAAAAAAAAGAATTGGTGGGCCCTAGGAACAGTTCCTACGAGGGAACCTGCCCGATACCATGAGGAAATGAGAACGAGAATGAATGAACTATGAATGAAGTGGGTACAAGTACTAACCCTAATTGGGTTGTACCCCCTATGGGATACCCCACTATAGCCTACACAAAAGCATAAGCTATAATGTTCTGACAAACCGGACACTTGAGCAGATGCTTCATTCATTCATTGGCCCAACTCAGGATGATTGGGACGAGTTGTTGCCTGTCATTGAATTTGTAGTGAACAATTCAGTTCATGAAGGTACACGTGAGAAACCTTTCATTCTGAACTATGGTCGGCATCCCACAACGCCTGCTACGCATGGGATCGGCGGATTGAAAATTCCAGCCGCTAAAGACTTTGTTGGCAAGCAGCAAGAAGCGCTTAAGTCTGCTCGCCATTGGCTACAACTCTCTCAGCAGCGACAAAAGTTTTACGCCGACATGAAACGCCGGGAAGTCTCGTTTGAGGTTGGAGACAAAGTTTTGTTAAGCACGAAGAACATTCGTCTCAAAATCCCTGGAGCACGAAAGCTGTTCCCTCGATGGATTGGGCCCTTCGAGGTGATCAAGCATGTCGGTGTGGTAGCTTACAAGCTTAAGCTACCTGACACTTTACAGATTCACAACGTCTTCCATGTGTCTCTGTTGAACAAGTACGTTGCAGAGGGCAAGTACTTACCGCCACCAACGATCGTCCTGGGGGAGGAAACCGTTTTATGAAGTCGAACGAGTGCTAATGCATCGTGATCGACAACGCGGCCGCAAGACAGTACGAGAGTTCCTCATCAAGTGGAAAGGCTATGGGCCTGAACACAACTCATGGGAGCCAGAAGAGCATCTGACTGAAACTGCAGTTCAGTCATACATGACAGACCTTGCTCGACGAGCTGCCGCACAACCAGTGGAGGGCGTTGACCCTGTTCGTAATGTGACACGGCGTACTCGAAGCGCTCGTCCTCAGAAGCACCCTGAGGCAACGGGGACGTTGCCACCTAGGGGGGGAGGAGTGTAACGCATAACCTACTCTGCCTCATCTACCGCTAACTTCCTAAGTCAACATCGAGAGACTTCCTCGATGAGAATTGACGTGAAGGCAATCGGGAAGGTTGAGTTGGAGAAGAACATTGGTTTGGTTTTCCCAACCCTCAACCTTGAGGCTTGGAAACTTCCAACCCATCAAAGTGAAGATTGGAAAGGTTGGATTTCCAACCAATCAAGTTGTGCCAGTTGTTGTTACAATCCACACAAACTTAAAACAGCCATACAATTGTGCTAAGTTGGGTTTTTCCCAACCAAACTAAATTGCCACCTAGGCTCCAAGCCTATTAGCTCCCCAACCATGGAAGCCATGGTTGGGAAAAGCCCCAAGGGGTATGATGGAAGGGGTTGGAGCTCTCAAGCTTATTCCCACTTCCCAACTCCAACAATCTAACTTGGAAATGGGATTTTCACTCTAAGTCTTTTGGGTTCTCCTAATAAGCTCCCCTACACAACTAGACTTGTGATTTTTCAAGGACAAGCTCTACAAGAAGCTCCTACATACTTATTAAAGCTTCATCAACCTTCTTCAAGCTCCCTTTCTCCTCTCAAGCTTGAGGAGTACTATCAAGGCTAAATTACCCCTTGGTGGGGTTAGTTAATCTTGAAAGCCTTGTATCTTGATTTTATAAATGTTGTCAAGGGTGATTTATATTTAACACACGGTTACCCGTTGTTATAAGGGCCGTGATTGTTACACATTCCCCCCACCCCCCCCTGCAATGCAGAGGGCTGACTGGGGAAAACTAAAAGTGGAGCTTACCTCTTTTAGGATTTCTTAGACTATCGCACTTCTGCGGCCCTTGAAGTGACTTAGCAGCGGCGCGGTAATTAGATCTCTAGTGTGTGCTGCATGATGGTGAGGCTTGGCGATTTGAGAGTACTCAAGGAAGGTAGGCAAAGAGATCGCGGCCTGGGAAAAACCGAGGGGAAACGATGCGCGGAAGATTGTACGGATGACACTGAAGGAACGGCGCCGCCGTTGGTACTACGCACATTTTTTTTCATCGAGGTGGTATGAGTAGCATTTCTTTTCACTACGCGCTTTTAGTTACCATCGTAACATTCCTCTACTATGTGTCCCGACACACTGCTGAGCACAAGCTTGTTCGTTAGTTTGAGGTGTACAGTACTTTTGCTGCTCCTCCAACACCTTCCTTGCCTTGCTTCATCAAAATGATAATTCGCGAGACTCGTGCACCAGTCGCGAACTTTCGTCTTATCGCGAAACGAAACTGTCCTGCCGTCGCCACTTCCTTCCACCGAACACCCCAAGCGAGAAAATTCTTGTGGTAGCATTTGTCAGCCATGTTTTGTGTCTTGCACCAATGCGTTCCTCTATGGCGTTGTTCTGAGATAGACCGTCTGTGCCGTACATAACGTGTAAAATGGTAAACCACGCAACGTTCTGGACAACTGATTGCCGTAGTAGTAAGCGTCATGCGTCAGTCGCGTTTTGCGAAATTGTCCAATTCATGCCAGCTGCGGGCTTCCTTTTTCATTCAAGTCTACCGTATTGTTCATTATCTGACTTGCGGGAATCTTGCGGATGCCCGGAAGAAGAATAGTCGGTCGCGCTGTGGCCTCCGAGAGAATGACAATCTATAATGCCTTCACAATCTACGGAATTTTCGCCGTCATATCGGGCCTGTCCTCGCGGACCGCTGTGACGGCATGGTCAGGTACGCATTCGAAGCCATGGCAAAGGTACGCGCTGCAAAGCATTGTCACGTACGCGTCAAGGGATGACGAGGTGCGCGTTATACGGCATGACGAGGTACGCGTTATAAGGCGTGCTGACACGTTTCGAGGCACTACTGTTAATGGTAAACTTCGCGCGTTTCAAGGCATGGTGAGATATCAACCCAAAACAAGTTAGCATAGGATCAGCTGATAGAATCAGAAGCACTCAAAGAAAATAATGCGATTTCTTTTTGCAACAGCTTCAGCTACCACCGAGGGTTTCCATGCCAATCACACTCCCTCTCCCTTTCTTCGCAGCCCCACTTCCCCCACACTCCCCCCTCCCCCAAATCTTCCTCCTTCCCCGCTACAGTCACAGAGCAACACTCAGCATCAATGGGGCACCACGCATCAAGCATGGGTCACCATCATCATTATCACACAACCAGCCCACACGGCAATTCTTTCAGCCAAGCTCCGTCTCAATACAGTCACATCCAGTACACTCCCAACCACGGATACAGTCACGACGAACGTGACATGCTGCGTCGGGTTGAGTGGGTGCGGCAGCAGCGTGAGGGGGACAGCCAGCCCGCGCCGCTCTTCACTGCTGTGGCTGCCGCTGCTGCGTCAGGCGAATCCTTTGTCCTCAACGTCCCTCTCAGACGGACAACTGCTGCTGCTGCTGCTACAAATGCTGCTACAGAAGCTGCTACAGCTGGTTACACACCTGCTGCTGCTGCTACAACCGGAGCAGCCAGACTGCAAGCCCAGGGGAGGAGGAGGAGGCAGCGAACGGTGATCATCGGGCCAGTCTCCCTGCAACGGGCCGCTGTAACCGCAGGTTACCAGCTGTCTCAGAAGCGCCCGAAAGGCCCCTGCAGCATGTGGTTCAAGAGAGTCTTCATAGTCAGAGTCAAGTCTGCTGCTGATTTCGCCGCCAGGGCCTCTCTCCCGCGCACCGCCACCGTTATTCTGCATTTACAGAAAGATTTGATGCTGCCTAAAGGGGTTATTTTCGGGCGGCAGCAGTCGTGCACGATACTCATGTCAGCGAAATGGCCCGGTTACACGCTGACGGGTGGTAACCCTATGTATCCGGTGCTGCGCGTGTGGAACACGAGTAACTTCATGTCGCTGAACGTGAACTATCGCCTGCCGGTAACGGAGAGCAGCCCCGAGTGCACCATTGTGCCAGAGCTGGGCAAAGGCGTGACCTGCCCTGCCATCTCCATCCATCGGTCCTTCGGCGTGCAGATTGGCAAGGTCAGTCCCTCCCTTTTACCTGCTTTTCACTCTCCCTTGTCTTTCGCTGTAGAGAGCATTCCAGAGTGCACCACCCCGAACTTTGAATGCTTGCGTGCGGTGAGTTGAGTGTCGCTGAACATGAAATATCACGTGCCGGTGACAGAGAGCACCACTAACTGGGCAAGGAGTGGCAGAGCTGGGCAAGGAGTGGCAGAGATGGGCAAGGAGTGGCGTGCCCCGAGATGCAGTCTTGATCCATCGATCATACGGCGTGCAGATTGACAAGGTGAGTCCCTCCATTCCATCTGCTTGTTGCGCTCCTTTCGCATGTCACGCTCCTTTCGCAAGTTCTCTTGTCTGGATTCTTCCGGTGGACGTGGTGGTGAGGTGATGGAGCAGCATAAACTCGTCTCATCCCACACCCACACCCACATGTCTTCCAGCTCCTCATCTTTCCACGTGCCTCCACTCTCATCCCCATTCCCTCTCCTTCTCTTCCCCTCACAGCACCGTCTTTGGCCCAGTGGGCGTGCAATGGAGCATGGCCATGCCGCGTGCGGCTGGACTCACTAACGCTCACTGGAGTGGTTTCTCTCTCTTTTTCTCATCCCACACGTCGTCTCAAGCTCCCGCGTGCCTCCAAGCTACCCCCTATCCCGTCTACCTCTCTCCCCCCCAGGGCAAAATCTTTGGGCGAGTGGACGTGCTACGCAGCATGGACGTGCGCCTGGACTCACTCTCGGTCACCGGAGTGGCTTCCTTTATCAAGTCGCCTGGGGTGATCCGAGTGGCCCTGTGTGGGTACGGGCCGGGACTTCTCAAATCCAGCATTGTCATCTCCAACAATGAGGTGTACGGTGAGTGAGTGGGATGCTTCCCAGAGTCAACGGGAGTCAACCAGATTCAATGAGATTGAAGGTCAGTGAATGGTCCTCACTGTCCCCCCTGCCCCTTAACCTCTCTCTCCCCATTGCCCCCTTATCCTCACTCTCCCCCTGCCCTCCTGCCCCATGGTCTTGCACAGAGGAGCAGTGGGCACAGCAATAACAAACAACAACATCCATGGCTATATCTTCTCATCACCATGCTCTTTCCCGCTTTTTCCCTTAACCCACTCCCCCCTCTTTCCTTGCCTGCAGGGGTGAACACCCCCGTTGTGCTGCACAGGGGAGCAGAGGGCATAGCAGTCACCACATGACCATTGTTTTTGCGGGAAGTCGGCGTGCATGACAGAAACGAATGCATGTTTACTCGCATCAACTCCAATCGATCTCGTCATTTCCCCTCCGCACCCCTCCCCTCCCCCCCTCTCCTTCTTATGCCAAATCCCCCCATTTGCCCCCTCTTCCGCTCTCTTTCCGTTGCCTGCAAGGGTGAACACTCTGACTGTCTTGCACAGGGGAGCGGCGGTGGGCATCACTATGACCAACAAGTACATGCACAACGACGTTATCGTTGGGATTCACTGCAGCGCTGCAGCGCCAATGTGCATTGCAGCGGTGACTGCAGGCTCACTCGCATCAACTCCAGCCTTGTTTATTCTAACAACGGGGATCAAGTCTCGGCAAGGATTTACCACTGTCGTAGTGGCTGAACTCTCCTTTTCTGTACTCTTCCCCCCTTCTTTCCCTTGACTGCAGGGGTGAACACTCCGATCCTCTTGCACAGGGGAGCAGTTGGTGTAACCGTCAGGAACAACTACGTGCACGACTTCATATTTGCTGGAATCAAGTGCGGTGCCGACGTGCATTACAGCTTTGCGTGCATGCTCAGTCGCATCAACTCCAACCTTGTGGTTTCCTCTGGGAGGAACCTGAACGGGGATCACGACTCGGCTGGGATCTACTTCTACACGCACTGGTTCAGCCCGGGCAACTCGGCGCTGTGCAACTACGTGTTCAACGGCGATCACTGCTATTATTTGGACCATTGCTCGTCGGGCGTGCTTGTCAGGGGAGGCGCGTGCGTGAATACGTATGACGGCATGAAAGTGAATAACGGCAAGCGGTGAGGAGGGACTGTGGAGATCCAGTGGTGTGCAATCATATGTTCAGTTGCGCCCTTTAGGGCCCCCTTTTCGTTTGCCTCAGCAGTCCCCTTTGCACAACAACTCCGGATGCCGTACTGCCCTGTATTGCTGTCCACCCCTTCCTCCCCCATCTTGACTGCAGGAACGTGATAACGAACGTGGCGATGAAAGGCACGCGGGGATCGCTGGGGTGGACGTCGTGCTTCACAGTGACCGTCAACAACTGCCTCAAAGACCCCGGCAACTACTGGGAGGCCATGCGCGTGAAATACTACAACAGCGCCCGCATCAACCACGTGAGTGAGAGCAGAGCAGGAAGTGAGCAAAGAGCACATGCCATAGCTTCGCATCCAACATGTGAGACGCCTCAAAAGTACCGAAAGGGACTACTGGGATGCAATGCAAGTGAAATACTACACAGCACCCATATCAACCGAGTACGTGAAGAGAGCTGTTACTACTGGGAGGCATCCCTGTGAATATCTGTGCCAGTGGCTGTGCATATGGTGCCCCTGTGGTGGCGTTAAGCCTCGTTCCTCACACACAGCAACCGTATCAACTGGGTGTGTGAGAGTAAAGGAGCAGATGTTCAGCAGTGAGAGAGTGTGAAGTCACATGTGGTCAAACTTACCAAGTGATCACTGCTCCTCCACCCCTTGACCCCCCCTCCATATCATGTGTGCAATAAAAGCTAATGTATTCTTTTCCTTACCTCCCCCTTCGTCTCCCTTCTCTCCTCTCCTCTCTCCCCTCCCTCTCTCCCATCTCTCCCATCTCCTCTCTCTTTTCCCCCCCTCTTTATTGTCACATCCAGCTATGGCCTTGGATGAAGGACGTCTGCAAGGAAACATCGGCCAATGGCGGCGTGTCATGTAACCCGCCAGGTCAGCCAGGTGCTGACGTCACGGGAGCATGCAGCGGGCTGGGAACCGACAATCTCATCGACGTTGTCGCCGTCAACACCACCAACTATGGCCTCGACTGGAAGCACTGCGAGAATTTCACCGTTACGAAAAAGTTGAATCGGGAGATCAACATTTCGCTGAGTCAGCCTCTTGCTGCGGGCTTTCGGGACTACACAGGGAATGATTTGGGGCTGGAAAATACATCTGCAATTTTGAAGTTGCGGCCGGATTATTTGAGCTGCCCGTTGGGGCTCGCAGGACCAAGAAAGTTTTCGGAGAAGTCTTTTTATGAGGGTTACAACATCCCAATGCCAAGGGGGTTTCGGAAGGTTGTTACGATGGACATTAAGCATATTATAAATCAGGACTTGATTATCCCCTTGGTTAGAGCTCAGATGATGGCAGCTGGTGATGGGGAGTATTCATGGCTTGCCTCATCTAGAGGCTTATCAACTAAAATCTAACACCGTCACGCTTTTCAAGTTACGAACGCTATTCCATCTTATTCCGAACAAATATTCCAATGTCAGGTGACGCCCTCTCTGCTTTCACACGTGGCCTACTCGGGCGTGCAACATCGCCCACACACAAGCGACGCCGCGAACCTGCCTCTACACTTGCCCTCTCTCCCTCCCCTCCTCCCCCTCGCCTTACACCCATCCCCTTCCCTTACCCCATTCCCTTTCCGTTACCTTCTCCCTGTTGGTCTGAGGTGCCCTAGGATCTTTGTAGAGCTTAAAGTCTGAGTAGGATTGTAATAGCGGAAGCGTTTGAATGAAAGTCCTTGAACCACCTTGCGCTAGTATGTGAGGGCAAAGTAAGTTGATTAAACAAGCAAATACAAAGGTTTATATAAGAGTACAAGGAATACGAATAGATAAGTTTAAACCGTTTTACTGTTGGGATTCGATACAGTGTGACTCGGGCAACTGCTCAATGTCGAGTCAGTTGTGTGTCCTTGCTGTCGCGCTGTATTTGTCAAGTCAAAGGTCGCTGACCTTTGACCTTCGCGTAACCTCCAGGCGGTTACCCTAACCTCCGAGGGTTGACTCGCGATGCTTCGATTCGGACTGCTTCGCTAGTGTCCTGAGTTTCGACACGACAGAGGCGCTTAAGACTTATTATTCCCAACACTCCCCTTCGCTTCTGGAGTGTCGGTGATGGTGACGTGGCCTTATCCAGTCAGCAACATACAGTACTCGAACTTCTGTTTTCCGAGTTTCTTGGTCAAATAATCGGCTGCCATCTCGGACGTGGGACAGTAGGATAATTCGAGTTTCCCTTTCTTGATCTCGTCCTTCACGAAGAAGTATCGCAGAGCGATATGCTTCGTTCTGTTCGCGAATCCGCTTTTGTTGGCGATGCGAATTGCAGATTGGTTGTCGCAGAACAGGGTGAAGTTGGGTAACTCAGCTAACTTTGCTTCTTCCAGCAGCTCGCGAAGGTAGAGTCCTTCCTTGGTGGCTGAACAGAGGGCGATATATTCTGCTTCAGCTGAAGAGAGAGCGATTAGTTCCTGCTTACTCGACTGCCAGGAGATAGGTCCGATAGGCTCGAGACGATAGACGTAGCCAGTGCGAGAGCGCCTGTTATCAGAATCGCCGGCATGGTCAGCATCGACGTAGCCGATTAGTTTCGTCGTCGTAGCTTCGCCCTTGTAGTAAGTCAGGCCGATCGTCGGTGTGCTCACGAAGTAGTGTAGTGCGCGATCGAGCTCCGCCAGGTGCTCTGCTTCGGGTTTCTTGAGATAGGTGGCGAGTTGGCTTGCAGAGTAGGATAGATCCGGGCGACAGGTGACGGCTGCAAAGAGGAGGCAGCCCAGTTTCCTGTGGTAGTCTCGTATTCCGGCAGCTTTGAGTGGAGCGGAATTTCCTTTGTAGCTTCCTGCCGTGTGGCGGTATGGCGTGGCGATAGCGGTAGGTGTGAGCGAGAAGCGCTTGGCGATAGTGTCGGCGTATTTCTCGGCGCTGAGGTAGATAGCATTTTCCTCTTCGCGGATGTTGAGCCCGAGGTACTGGGTGACGGTGGAGGAGACGGTGAGCGTGAGGTCCTTCTGCAGCTCCCCTTCCAACCAGGTAGTGACGTCGTCGGTGGAGCCGATGTAGAGCATGTCGTCGACATAGACGGTCAGTAGGATGTAGTCTGCGCCTTTGGTGAGACGATACATTCCTTGGTCGTGAGGCAGTTGGCAGAATCCGATGCGAGTGAGGCAGGTGTGTAGGTGCTGTTGCCACAGTCGCGGAGCTTGTTTGATTCCGTAGAGCGATTTCAGTAGTTGGCAGACCTGATTGGGGTTTCCGTGGGTACCGTGGGGGAGTTCGACGAAGATTTCGGCGTCGACGGGTGCGTAGAGGAATGCGTTGGCGACGTCAATTTGTCGCAACTTCTTCTTCTTCATGGCGGCGACGGCGAGAAGAATTCGGAGAGAGGTATGTCGACTAACTGGGGCGAAAGTTTCGGTGAAGTCTCGTCCTTGCTCCTGGTCGAATCCACGCACGACCCAGCGTGCTTTGAACTTCTCGATTGTGCCGTCGGCTTTCGTTTTGATGCGGAAGACCCATTTCCCGGTGAGAATGGTCTTGGTCCGTGCCACGCTTGCGGGAACGACCTTCCAGGTGTTGCGTTCCTCTAATGCCTTCAATTCTCTGTCCATGGCTTCACGCCATTTCTCCCTGTGTTCCCCCCACAGAGCCTGCTGAACTGTCGCAGGCTCTTTAGGAAGAGCTGTCAGATTATCATAGTTGATGCATGTTTGTAGGCTATAGTGGGGTAGCACATATGGGGTACAGCTTTCTAGGGTTGTATTTGTACCCAACCCTGACTTAGTCATTTCATTCCCTGTTCACTTGTTTCACATGGTATAGAGCGGGTCCTTCCTTAGGACCGTTTTTTTTAGGGCCCACCGAAGCGCGCCCCGAGGCGCGCCTTTTTTTTTTTTTAGCGACCCCTCGGGTCGCCATTTCCCTCGCGGCCCCGCCGCCTGCTTGGCGCGGCCCCGCCGCCTGCTTGACGCGGCCCCGCCGCCTCCTCTGACGCGGCCCCGCTCCGCCGGCTCTGACGCGGCCCTGCCGCCCGCTTCGTCGCGGCCCCGCCGCCTGCTTGACGCGGCCCCGCCGCCTCCCCTGACGCTGCCCCACCGCCGGCTCCGCCGCTGCACCCTACGGCCCGCCGCTGCACCCTACGGCCCGCCGCCTCACCTGACGGCCCTGCCGCTGCACCTGCCGGCCCGCCGCTGCACCTGCCGGCCCGCCGCTGCACCCTACGGCCCGCCGCCCCATCTGGTCGGCCCGCCGCTGCACCCTACGGCCCCGCCACTGCACCTGTCGGCCCGCCGCTGCACCGGTCGACCCGCCGCTGCACCTGACGGCCCCGCCCTTGCATCTCCCGGCCGAGCCGCCCCGGCAGCAGAGCCGCCCCAGCAGCCGAACCCCCCGGAAGCCGAGCCGCCCAACGCCGAGCCGCCCGGGGCCCGAGCCGCCCTGCTGCCGAGCCGCCCGGGAGCCGAGCCGCCCTGCACCCGAGCCGCCCTGCCGCCGAGCCGCCCGGGAGCCGAGCCGCCCTGCGCCCGAGCCGCCCAGCCGCCGAGCCGCCCGGGAGCCGAGCCGTTGTGCACCCGAGCCGCCCGGTCGCTGAGCCGCCTTTCTGCATAGCTGCACGACCTGCCCTGCCTGGTGAGCACAGTCCCACTGACACTGCGAGCTCTTTCCCTACTGCTTGCACTGCGTCGCTGTCGTCGCCATGGCTACCCCTAGTGTCCTAGCTTTTGACGCTGAGGGTCGCGCCATTGATTTTGAGGTCTGGTTAGACGACCTGCAGCTGTTCTTACAGTGCGACAGGGCTGACGACCTTTCTCTCTTTGACCTCACCTCTGGCGCCTCTCCTGCTCCTGCTGCTGATGCTGATCCCACTGTCCGCTCTAAGTGGGCCACCCGCGATGCTGCTGCACGTCTTGCTGTGCGTCGCCACCTCCCTACCTCTGAGCGTGCGCACTTTAGTCAGTACAAGAGTGCTCAGACCTTGTACGACGCTGTAGTTGCGCGCTACTCCTCCCCTGCCACTGCTGCACTGAGCCGTCTCATGCTTCCCTTCCTCTTTCCTGACCTCTCTGCCTTTCCCACTGTCGCTGACCTCATTACGCACCTCCGCACTAGTGACACTCGCTACCGCGCCGCCCTTCCTGCTGAGTTCTGCGCTAAGAACCCCCCCCCCATGTACATCGCTCTCTACTACGTAGTCGCGCGCCTCCCTGACTCCCTTCGCGTCGTCAGGGACCACTTTCTCGCAGTCTGTCCCACCACCCTCACCGTCGACCTCCTCGAGAAGGCCCTCCTCGCAGCAGAGAAGAGCATAGTCGCTGTAGGTGCTTCTCGTGGTGACCCTCGCACCCCCAT